TTATTAATCCTAGCTATAATTTAATTTCTTAATAACACTTACGGACGCTGTCTGAAATAAATAAATAAATAATAACTATTATTAAAAAATAACATAAAAAATCACGAAATTTTTATCGATTTAGAAAATATCAAAATTATGTTATAGAGTACAATAGCTTTGCCACGTCTATGCAAACAAACAAGCATCAAGCACCAGTAGCGCGTTAGCACTGATATTGACGGTTGTGTTTTATATTGCGAAATTAATATTCCGCCGTGAGTGACTTGTGTGCGATGTCTTACTCAAACGAAGAATATTTTAATATGTTGATGTGTCTCGGGAAATGTAACTGCAATTATGCAGCAGCACGAAGACTTTACGGGGAGTGCTTTGCTACTCCACGAAATATACAATTGCCGTCGGCAATGACGTTCCAACGACTTCACATTCGTATGTACAATACTGGCAGTGTGCATGGCCGTGATCAACAACGTACAGATTCAGGAAGACCGAGGATGTACGACGACTACATCGAGGAGCACATTCTCGACATGTTTGAGGAAGATGCGACGCGGAGCACGCGCTCGGTGGCACGCGAACTAGGTGTGAACCATACGCGCGTTTGGAGAGCCCTCAAAGATGATGGCCAGCACCCGTATCATTATCGTCGAGTTCAGTGTCTTCTTCCTAACGACTACGAGCCGAGAATGGATTACTGTAGATGGTTACTTGATAAGGTTGAAGGAGATCCTGAGTTTTTGAACCGCCTACTTTTTACGGATGAATGCTCTTTTGTAAGAATAGGTGTATTTAATGCTCATAATGAACGCGTATAGTCAACGACAAATCCGCATTCGTATAAACCAAGCTAATTTCAACACCGATGGAAAATCAATGTGTGGGCGGGAATTATAGGTGACAAAATTATTGGTCCGTATTTCCTAGACCACACAATGAGCGGTGAAAACTACGGACGTTTTTTGCGAGAAGAACTAAGCAATGAGCTTGACGAAATGAATTTAGACCTCGTTCGTCGCATGTGGTTTCAACACGATGGTGCTCCACCGCATTTCTCCCGTTGTGTAAGAAGTTTTTTGGATACTGAGTTCGGTGAAAGATGGATTTGCCGCGGTGGACCGGTCAACTGGCCGGCACGATCACCTGATCTCACACCTTTAGATTTTTATCTCTGGGGTACGATTAAGCATACTGTATTCCAAAAAACATGCGATACCGAGGCAGAAATGCGTATGCGTATAGTCGCAGCCTTTGAAAAAATAAAGTCCGAAATTATGAGACATTATGAGTCGGTGTCACAAATGTATAGAGGTACAAGGTGGACATATTGAACAACATCTCGTTTCTTCTTTCAAGTCGTCAAGTAGACATAGTGATAAATTAGTGTTTGACTATAACAGCTGTGATGTGACGAGGCCACGACCTCAGTGTGCAGTTAGTGTAGGTAAGACGCGCGCGCGCCCCATCTTTGATGTAAGTCACCGCCGCCGCCACCCGCCGCTGTCGATAATTCTAGGCAGAGGTAATCAATCTACATAAAATTTACAAATATTATTTATTGATTAAAACTACTTTTACGGATTTTATCGCGTTTTATTTATATTAATTTTAATACCCGACGTTTCGGGTGCTTTCCAGCACCCATGGTCCCAGGGGACTGAGCACATGGGTGCTGGAAAGCACCTGAAACGTCGGGTATTAAAATTAATATAAATAAAACGCGATAAAATCCGTAAAAGTAGTTTTAATCAATGTATAGTGTTCGCGTAAATATAAGAAATCATTAAATATTATTTAATTAAAATTTAATTTGATTGTTTTTATGTCGAGTTTTCTGAAGTAAAGTTATTTCTATACGTTTAAATACTGATTCTGATGACGCACTTAACGGGAACCACAGGGTTTTTGTTACATATTGTATATATATATATATATATATATATATATATATATATATATATATATATATACAAGAATTGCTCGTTTAAAGGTATAGGATATTGATTATAATTTTATTTTTGTATAAATTTTATATTTTGTATTATAGTTCGGCCGTTCAGAAAATGCGTTCCTGACACGTCGCGACTGAACTGACGACGTAACTTTGTAATGGCGTTGCAGTTACGATAAAAATATTTTTGCTGGTTGTTTACCGTTTTAACAATTGATGAGCATTAAAACTACATTATTATATCAATAATCAATGAATGTTATAATTATGTGCCAAACTGAGTGTCAAATAACTTGGTAAACAATATTTTTCTAAATCTATACTGCGCTATTACAAGGTTATGTCAGCGCTTTATATTTGTAGTGCTGTGCTAACAATAACAGGCAATAACAGTATCGTAATCTGTTCTTATACAGTTATACTTTATAAAATAATACGTATTGTTTTTCTTTTTAAGAATTTGAAAATAATGGACTATAAGATAACTTTTATTAAATATAAAAATAAAACTACAACCAAACCGAACGCGCGAAAGAAAGTAGCATTTTTATATTTAGGTTGAAAATGGTAACCCCAAATGCCGTTATGGGCCGCCATTTTGTGACGCTAAAACAGTCATCTGTTGTCGTTTCGTGCGCATAGACCACGTTCTTCAAGTGTTTTCGATCTGTTTTTATTTGATTATACCTTTCGTTTAATGGACTGTTTCTGCTTTTCAAACTGACATCGGCGCTAAATCGGACTTCGATTATGTTTTGTATTGCATTCTTTTTACTTTTGGTGCATAATAATGCCTAAACGTGGACAAACATTGAAAAGTGGAGCCCGTGAGTTAATCATCAAGCTGCATGATTACTTTGAGCGGGAGCGGCAAAATGTCGGACCCCTGTTACCTGTCGAACAAGTACAAGAACGCATCTCTCAGGCGCTTGGAGTTAGCAAAGGAACGATAAGAAATATTAATAAAGAAAAGTTCGGCTCTACTGGCACGGAAGATAATATTTTACGTACTCCGAAGAAGAAACGTAGAACTAAACCCGTGACAGATATTGACACCTTTGACGCCGATGCAATCAGAAATCGTATAATATGGTTACTATTCCAGAAATGAATATCTCAACAGGAAGAAGCTTTTCGCATCGTTAAGAGAAGATGGACTGTTTAGCGGGGGTAAAACAGCTTTAACCAAAATCTTAAAAAATATTGGTTTTTCGTATAAAAAAAATAGACAAGAGAAAATTTTTATTAGAACGATACGACATAATTTTAAAACGGATAAGTTTTTTGAGAGAAGCAAAAAATATTGATAACTGGGATAATGTCGTGTTCATTGACGAGACATGGCTAAACGCCAATCACACGGTTTCCCGTCTTGGATGGATGATACCCAACCGTCGACGTTGAAAGTACCAATGGGTAAGGGGGCCCGTCTGATAATATGCCAGGCAGGTTCTGCAAAATACGGCTTTGTGGAGAACGCGTTACTGGCATTTCAATCAAAAACCACAAATTACTACCACGAGGAAATGAATGCTACTACATTTAAAGAGTGGTTCCAGAACGTGCTTTTGCCCAGCCTACCAGAGCCTTCTGTAATATTCATGGAAAATGCCTCCTATCACTCGGTTCAAATACAGAAACCACTTACCCAAGCTAATAAAAAAGAAGAAATGTTGGCTTGGTTACAAGCAAAAGGCATTGACGCAAATATGCAGATGCTAAAACCAGAGCTAATTAAATTAGTTAAAGAAAATAAAGCCACAAATGTGCGATACGAAATCGATGAACTGGCTCTGGAGTACGGTCATCGCGTTCTAAGAATTCCACCGTATCATTGCCAATATAACGAGATTGAGCTAATCTGGGCTCAAATAAAAGGTTACGCCGCCCGCCACAATACTTCCCCGCCATTCAGCACGAAAAAGATGATGACCCTATTAAAAGAAGCCTGTGGGGAAGTCACAAGAGATGACTGGGCAAAGGTTGTTGAGAAGACTAAAAACCTGATTGTGGAACATTTTGACCGAGATATCAGGATTGATTCTGTTATCGATAATAATATAATTATACATGTAGGCGAAGACGATGATGAAGACACCACCTCCTTAAGCGAATCGGAGTCTGATTAATATTCTGTACGCACATTCAATTCATTGTACTTTATTGCATAGAAATACAGATTGTAACTTTGTAACAAAGAATAAATAAAACAATTTTATTATATTAATATTACCTTTTCTGGTTTCCATTTAATTTACTAAAATATAAATTTTGAATGATTCCGCCAATTTAAAACGAAAATAATCTTAAAAATAACTCGGCGGTTCATTTTGGAGGAACGGTAACGAACTCAGTGTTATGTTGTGCCCATCACTAGTCGTGACTAACTGACAGGTGTCAGGAACGCATTCTCTGAACGGCCGAACTATAATTATATTGTATTACCTATTTTATATTGTTTGATTTATAAGTACAATAAAAATACTTACAAAAAAATATGTTTTATTTCATCAGTTATGCTAACTTCTATTCACCTGATAAGAAAATATACTTTTTTTTTTAATATAATCAATTAACTGCAGCTTACAAAAAAACCTTTTTATTGCGTATTTTGGGTTAAATCTCACATAGTAAGCCAACAAAACCCGCCATTGCATGTTTGGTGTGTCTATCTTTATCTAATCTTAGCGACGGTATTGTTTTCGCAACTTGTGTAAGTGAGACAGATATATGTTTATTTAAAATGTTTAGTAATTTCAAATAACTCAATGACGACTCCGTGGCGCAGTGACTTAGCAATGAGTGGCTGCGCTGGGGGTCGCGGGTTCGAATCCCGCACGGAACAAATATTTGTATGGCCTACAAATAGTTGTTCCTGGTCTGGATGTTTGCCTTGTGCAATTTATGTTGGTAAACTGCCCCTACGATACAAGAGAAAATCTTAGTGTAGGGGTAACGTTTAAAAAATATATGATATTAGATGGTTAGGTACAATTTGGTTTAATAGACAGATAAAAACATGTAAAAACAAGTTGGATATTTCCTAATAATGTTACTAGTAAGTCTTTCGAAGCTTTTTAAAAATACCTAGCCTTTTCTGTGCATTTACGCAAGATTGACAAACAGTATTTTCATCACATTCGACTTCGTATATTGAGACGATTTTGTCATTTTTTAGCTCCAAATATTTTTTCCACTAAAGCTCCATCTTCTGTTTTAAATTATACCGCCTAGTAAGCCTTTGGAGCCGTGATTCTGCAGTACCTCTACTCGAACCACAACGGAGAATCAAATTGCTCAGAGCTACTCTTTTCTACACTCGCATATTTGTCAGGTGTCATTTTTTCTGAACAATATTAGAAAATGGTAGACACTATTTGAGAATTTTCTCTTTATTTGTTGTACAGATAGTGAAGCGACAACGCAATTCTATTGTCATCTACAAAATATCTCATCAGTTGAAATTTCTCGCATCCAGATACTTACTTCAAAACTGCAGATATACCTATCAAAAAGCTACCCTGATCACCAAAGCTTGAGCTTGTTGGTGACATACCTGACTGTAATAAATTTCAAAGTCGTGCCTACTTTAGGTAATTTGGATTTTGCCCAGTAACGGTTATTTTCTGTGGCAAGTGTGGACGTGCGCACTGATTGTTTCTCTCGCCAGTATTTGGCTATAAATTTTTTATTAGGTTGCATAATAGCTTTTATCTATATTTTAACTTTTGAACAATGTCACTAATAATACTGTAAAATTACTTAATACTTGTGAAAACTTAAACGTTTTTGAATCCAGAAATTATTACAAAAATGGAAACAGATGTAAATTCATCGTTAGGTAATGAGAACCGAAACATATCTTCTACATAATAAACATATTTGCAAATACAAATGTGGCATAAGATTTTACCTGCAGATAAATGCAAGAGGTCGCAGAAAAAATGCGAATAAATTCGCTTGGGTCCTTTTTAAGCTTTATGTGACATTCTATCCAAATTCTTCTCCTTTTTGTTTATCCTAATACAACACGTGCATTAAAATCATAACCGACGGATTGTCTAGGAAATCTACCAGCAACATACGCCAACTCATTGTAGGTAACACCAACGCCGTCTCAGGCCACACCGGGGCCCTTGAGCACACAAGAATTTGGGGCTCTGTTCGAAAGTAAAAAAAAGAGAATGAATTTATGCTTCATTTATCTAAAAATGATGATCGTGACAATGATTTGCTCTAAAATCTAATATTTGTGGTTGATAATTATCACATTAATAAAATTATATTTAGCGACATTTGGAGACTTTTTGTTGCTAAATTCACTTAATAACTATAATTTATATGGACTTTTTAATGGTAGCATAGACTTTTTACGTTTACGTTACATTTTTATGTTTTTTTTATATTTTTTAATTCATATTTCATTTTAATTTGTGTTGTAAAAGTCATCAATCAGTGTAAATTTTTTCGTTCTCAAATATATACTTATTTAATATATATATATATATATATATATATATATATATATATATATATATATATATATATATATATATATATATACATTTACGATGGTCTAAGGCAGTGATTCCCAAAGTGGTCTATGACAACCTGCAAGGGGTCTACGTCAGTGAAAAAAAATTTGGGGGTCCATGAAATGAAAATGGGGGTCCACGATAGTGGATCTCAACACATACACTGATAGTACCTATTTACTTACATCATACTTATAATATCAAAACATATACATTATGTTTTGATATTATATGCCGTGTAGTGGCGGTTAAGAATATCCACTACCCCATATCTTCCCGTGGGTGTCGTAAGAGGCGACAGAGGGAGACAGGCAGGAGATGGGCAGCAGCGTCTTCCTGATGACAACTGTGACGTAATAAAAACTGCGGTTGCCAACCCGCTCGCCAAGCGTGGCAACTATGGCAAATACCCCCCAATGAATAAATACACAAACAGACGGCCCCCAGTCCCCGGCGGCCCCGCTATTCCTGGCTACGGTGGCGACCATGGTAACGGCGGGGCAGGGGGTGCTAAGAATCTCCGGTGGAGGTTCGGTTGCCACCTACGACGACTCGACCTGGCAACATATAACGCACGCACCCTGAGGACTGACGAGAAGATACTGGAGCTGGAAGAAGAGGTAGACAAGTTGCGCTGGCATATTATTGGATTATCCGAGGTCCGAAGAGAGGGGGAGGACACGGCAATCCTCGAGTCCGGCAACTTGTTCTATCACCGGGAGGGCGACCATCTGTCCCAAGGAGGTGTCGGATTTATCGTCCACAAATCTCTCGTCAACAACGTTGTAAAGATTGGGAGTGTGTCGACGAGGGTCGCGTACCTGATACTCAGAATCACCAAACGGTATTCGCTGAAGGTCATTCAGGTTTACGCACCAACCTCGGCACATCCCGATGAGGAGGTGGAGGAAATGTATGAGGATATTTCCAGAGCCATGCATTCCTCCAAAACCTACTACACGGTGTTGATGGGAGACTTCAACGCAAAACTGGGCACAAGAGAAAGCGGTGAGCTGAAGGTAGGAAAATTTGGAGTAGGGCAACGGAACCGAAGGGGCCAGCAGCTGGCCGACTTTATGGAGAAAGAGGGACTCTTTATGATGAACTCTTTCTTCCAGAAGCGGCCCCACAGGAAGTGGACCTGGTCGAGCCCCGACGGTTCGACAAAAAATGAGATTGACTTCATTATGACGACCAGACGCCAACTGTTCAGTGATGTCTCAGTGATCGCAAGGGTGAAAACTGGCAGCGATCACCGAATGGTTAGAGGCACACTGAACCTAAACGTTAAGTTGGAGAGGTCTCGTCTAATGAAGTCAACGCTCCGTCCCCCTCGTGCTCTAATCCAGAATCCCGAAACCTTTCAGCTCGAGTTACGTAACCGCTTCCAGTGCCTAGAAGATTGCAATGCAGTGGACGATATGAACGACAAGCTCGTGGAAACTGTCCATGCGGTCGGAGCTAAGTTCTGCAAGACCCGCCGCAGAAGAACACAAAAACTCTCCGATCACACTCTTAATCTCATGGCTGTTAGACGGGAGATGAGGCTGCAATCGTCAACAGACTTGACAGCATACAGGCAACTGAATAGACAGATCTCCAAATGCATACGGCGAGACTTACGCAACTTTAATACTTCTCGTATTAAAGAAGCGATCGAGCGGAACCAGGGCTCCAAAGTCTTTGCCAGAGATCTGTCTGCCAGAAAGAGCCAACTGTCAAGGCTGAAGACTGAGTGTGGCAACATCGTTTCCGGGACACCTGAGATTTTGAGTGAGATTGAGAGGTTCTATGGGCAGCTGTACACATCATCGTTGGAGCCACACGCAAGTGTGAGTAACGATCCAAGAGCAAGTCTTATCCGACACTATTCCGATGATATCCCGGACGTCAGTCTAAGCGAGATTAGAATGGCTCTCCAGCACCTTAAAAACGGCAGGGCCCCAGGCGAGGATGGAATTACAGCGGAGCTTCTGAAAGCGGGTGGAACACCGGTACTTGAAGTCCTTCAGAAGCTCTTCAATTCCGTCCTCCATGGTGGCACTACTCCAGAGGCGTGGAGCAGAAGTGCGGTGGTCTTGTTCTTTAAGAAAGGCGACAACGCTCTCTTAAAGAACTACAGACCGATTTCCCTTCTGAGCCGCGTCTACGTGCTGTTTTCGAGAGTCATTACGAATCGTCTCGCACGCAGACTTGACGACTTCCAGCCTCCCGAACAAGCCGGTTTCCGAAAAGGCTTCAGTACCATAGACCACATACATACCCTGCGGCAGATTGTACAGAAGACTGAAAAGTACAATCTGCCACTTTGCCTGGCGTATGTGGACTATGAGAAAGCCTTTGATTCCGTCGAAATTTGGGCGGTGCTACAGTCCCTTCAGCGGTGCCAAGTTGACTGTCGGTATATCGAAGTGCTGAAGTGTTTGTACAGTAGGGCTACGATGGCTATCCGAGTACAGAACCAGAGCTCGAAACCTATCCAACTGCAGAGAGGTGTAAGACAGGGTGACGTTATATCCCCGAAACTCTTCACCGCTGCATTGGAAGACGTTTTCAAGCTACTGGACTGGAAAGGATACGGTATTGACATCAATGGCGAGTACATCACTCACCTTCGATTTGCCGACGATATAGTCCTTATGGCAGAATCGCTGGAGGACTTAAGCACTATGCTCAATGACCTCAATAGTGCCTCCCAACGGATAGGTCTTAAGATGAACATGGACAAAACAAAGATCATGTTCAATGTCCATGTCACACCTATGCCGGTAGTTGTTGGGAGCACTATGCTCGAAGTTGTTGACGAATACGTTTACCTGGGACAAATAGTCCGACTAGGTAAGTCCAACTTCGACCGAGAGGTCAATCGACGGATTCAACTCGGCTGGGCAGCGTTCGGGAAATTACGGCATATCTTTTCGTCAGGTATACCTCAATCTCTAAAAACTAGATTGTACAACCAGTGCGTGTTGCCAGTGATGACTTACGGATCTGAGACGTGGTCCTTCACTGCTGGCCGTATGAGGAAGCTTAAGGTCGCTCAGCGAGCTATGGAGAGGGCTATGCTCGGAGTTTCTCTGCGTGATAGACTCAGAAACGAGGATATCCGCAGTAAAACCAGAGTGACCGACATAGCCCAACGGATTAGTAAGCTGAAGTGGCAATGGGCCGGCCATATAGCTCGAAGAACCGATAACCGATGGGGAAGAAAGGTTCTCGAGTGGCAGCCTCGTACCGGTAGGCGTAGTGTAGGGCGACCCCCCACTAGATGGAGTGACGACCTGGTAAGACAGGCAGGAAGTCGATGGATGCAGGTGGCTCAGGACCGTGCTTTGTGGCATTACTTGGGGGAGGCCTATGTTCAGCAGTGGACTTGTGAAGGGCTGTAATGATGATGATGATGATGATACATTATGTATAAAAGTAACTATCAAGTAAAAAATTTATTATATATGTTTATAAAATTGTGTAAGTTGTAGGATGTTGGTATTCGCTGTGGTCGTAATATATTTTGAACTTGTAAAAACCTGAGAGTCGCAGTCTCAGAGCTTCGCTACCTTGCACTGACTTGTTCAATTCGTCACTCTATAAATACGAATGTGGGACAAATACGTTTATTCGTTTCCTGAATCTTGAAAAGGAAAGTGCTAAGAAAATATTTAAAAAAATATAAACAGATAGCATATCACACAAATTATAGCGAGTCAGTGTTATTTTGTTTTAAAGTGCTGGAGAAAAGTAAGTACATTATTTTTTATTAAATTTTAGTTTTGTACTCGTAGTTAGCAAAGATAGATAAATTAAGCCAATCATGACTTTAGTTATTAGTAGTTTAATATTCAATCATGCAAAATTACACGAGTACTCCTCAATTGTTTCGTTTTCTTTGCAATCTCCGTAATTCGAGCTAATTGTTGCAAGAAGATGTTCGAATTGTGGAATGTTTTCGGAAAAATTAAAAAATATTTTTAATACACAGCTGCTGGATTTTCTGTCTTATTTAAATAATTTAATTTTGCCCACAGATGACCGATGCCATGTCCGAATCTAAAAAGAAATTTAGACAGTACAGTGTCGATTATTTGAAATTTGGCTTCATTCCATCATTGCCGGACAAACAATTGCCTATTTGCATTTTATGCAACAAAGTTTTGGGCAATGACGCTATGAAACCATCTAAACTGCAAGATCATCTGAAAAGATGCCACCCTGATAAAACAGAGAAAGATTTGAAATACTTTCAAACACTCAAAGATAAACTTCAGAAGAGACCTACACTGGACAGAATGTTCGCTTCGACGTCACAAAGAAATGATGATGGTTTGCGGGCGTCTTACATTACTATCGGAGAGAAGTTAATTTTGCCAGCCGTTGAAGAGGTTTTAAAAACTGTTTTACACAAACCTGCATCTGATATCATTAAAAGAATTCCCTTAAGCAACAATACTGTTGAAAGACGTATTGATGAAATGAGTTCTGATATTGAAAGCTTCTTATGTAATTATTTGCAAACGACCCATTTCTCTATACAACTGGACGAGTCAACTTTACCTGATAATGCAGCATTATTATTGGCATATGTTCGTTTTATTATGAATCAAGAAATCTACGAAGAACTGCTCTTCGCAAGAACTTTGATAACCGACACTAAAGGTGAATCAATATTTCATGTTTTGAAGGATTACTTCATTGAAAATGCAATTCATTTATCAAATATAATATCAGTAGCTACAGATGGAGCACCTGCCATGGTTGGACGTTATCGTGGATTTATAAGCTATTTAACACAAAATGTGTCAGGGGTGTTAGCAATACATTGCGTCATCCATCGACAACATTTAGTTGCTAAAACTTTGTGTATTAGATTGCATGAATCACTTCATTTAGTCATTGATGCAGTAAACCGAATCCGAAGCAACGCATAGAATACGCGGTTATTTGCGCAGTTGTGTGAAGAAAATGACTAACACTTTCATCAATTACTCCTTCACACAGAAGTACGAAAGGCTTATTTTTGACAAGATTTTTTGCAATAAAATTTTAAAAGAAAATTTAATGAAGAGTAAAACAGACATCGATAAACTAATAGATTTGTTTACAAAATTTAATATGGTTAATTTGCAATTACAAGGTGACAGTTTAAATTTGATTAAAACAAAGTCCATCTTATCAGCGTTTCTTGGCAGAGTTAAACTAATGAAGCAAAATATTGGACGGGGCTAATTTTCTCAGTTCCCCAATTTGTCACAGACATGCTGCCAGGAAGACGACGTTTCAACTTACGTTCAACATTTAAATGCCCCAATTGAGGATATTTTGACTATGGTAATACCACCGTGGATAATTAATCCATATGGTGACATAGAAGAAACGAATGTAATAATACAGGAGGAACTGACTGAACTAAGTACAAACGAAGAACTTAAGGTTCAGTTTAAAAACGGATATCAGCAATTCTGGCTGCAAAACAACATACCCGTTACTTATCCCGTATTATGGAATATAGCGAGGAAATTTTCAATATCCTTTCCATCGTCATACCTAGTGGAAAGGGGGTTCAACGCTGTTACCAATCTTCTAACGAAAAAAAGAAACAGACTGGACATCATTAGCCGAGGAGATTAAGATTAACCCTTACAAAATTGACGCCAAATGTTGATAATTTATTATTAAAGCATCAGGTTCATCCTTCTCACTAAAAATATTGACTTTTTGCTTATGTTATTTTATTTATAGTTTATTTTATGTTTATTTAATGCTACGTATATTTTACATAACAGATACAAAATTTCATTTTGAGTAGTTTTAATTTAAATTCAATTAATAAATGTATAAGTTAACATGTGTTTTTACTTTAAGTTTTTAACACTAAACTTCACTACAGTTAGAAATTTACAGGAAATCAATATCAGGTAAGTAGGGGGTCTACCCAACACGGAAAAACATGGCAAGGGGTCTACAACACAAAAAAGTTTGGGGAACTCTGGCTTTAAGGCATGGAGGTTTGATAACAGGAGAACGATAGCTACGTACCTATAGCATAGCCCACCTGTCCTTGAAAATTTGTAGAATTTATAGCGGCGCTGCCGTCGGTGAATAGTGGCTGCGAAGTTAGCTGTATTATTAGTTGCTTATGAGTACAAGTAGATGAAGTTAGTTGTATAGTGTACAAATTTTCTTGGCGGCATTGGTGAGAAAATTTTCATTGCTCCGTAATTTTTTAATTTTTGACAACAAGAAACATTAAAAAATGGAGAAATATTTTATTGTGCGTGGATGTGCAGGTGGTTTTAGCATCTGATCGGAAAAAAAGACTGAAAATGACTTTTATTGAGCGAACTTAGCGATCGCAGCGTCCCACTTACGGTGTCCATACTGTGGTGACGCTATTTTCTGCGGCGATCGTTTTTCTGTTCTCTAGCCTTCATGGTCTAAGGTTTATGATTAGACACCATACTCTTATTAGTTTGTGCTAGAGACCTTTACTAATTCAATGTGGCAACATTATCTTTGACATGCTATGTCAAAAATCAATTTGTTAAACCTGCAGAGGGCGCTTTAAATTGCTCGGCCACGTAAGTCAGGGTCGTATTTTCCTTCATTGTGTTATTTTATTATAATAATTTCATTATTCGGGATAATATGTGATAATGATATAACATCTCAGACAGTGTGCAATAAGTTTCTTGTGTTGTAACGTATCTCCGACTTCGGTAAGTTGTTTTTTAATTGTCCTTCTGTCATCATCAGTGAATTAGCAATAATTAAGAATCCTTGTTGATATGAGTCAATTTATCATAAAATAAATACACTACAATGTCATTGTTTTATACTTGCTCAAAGTTAACGTTTTCAGATTGAAGAATCATGTCAAACGTACAACCAAGTTCGTTCAACAATATCTCGGGAGTGCCACAGACAAATGTGAACCCTGGACTGCAGTATACAAGCCAATTTAATCCACAGTCTCAGCAGCCAATATTGAAACAAGATGCAAACTCAAATAGTCCTGTGCCAGGATTTGTTAGTCCTACCAACCAGGGACAAATTACCCAATTTAGCCAGAGTGCAAGCAGTTCACCCGCCTTTAATCATCCGGGATTTATATCACAACCAATATCTGGATTCAATTTTTCATCAGTAGGACCACCAACCAAACCCGCTCTTTCAACATCAAATCAGAACATTTCTCAAAACATTCCTGCATCTGTACCTAACCCTAGTTCTATTAACAACTCTAATTCTTCACCATACCATCCCAAATTTCAACAACAGCTTCAGATTAACGATAATGCACCACCTCTTATTCCATCTAGTCAGTTTAAGCAATCAATAATTAATGGTCCACCATTGAGCTCTCCTCCCATGAGTCAACCGTTACCTCAACAATTGACGTCAAGTTCCTATAGTCCTATGACTAATAAACCTGTGAATTCTAATATTGCATCTGGACCGATAAATCCCATAGCATCTCAATCACAATCCGGCTTTCCTCCTTCATCTTTACCACCCAGGTCTTTCACTAGTCAGCCAAGTATGCCATATACACGGCCGCCACTTACTGGGCCTCCAAGAAATAGTCCTTTGTTTGGTCCATCTATGAATGTACCCCCAACCTCTAGTGGGCAACCTATTGACTTAGTTGGACCTCCAAGATCAATTGGGCTTAATGGACCTACTGGTAATATTCCTGGCCAGTCTGTAGGACCACCTCAGAGTGTAGGGCCTGTAAGTGGTCTTCCTTCTGGACCAACATCTTTACCACATCTATCAACAAAACCACCTTTAGGAACTCATATTCTTAATCAACAATATCCTGGTCAACAAAATAATGGCCCTTTGGGATTAAGCCAACCAACACCTTTATCAACTGGGCCTGGACCAATGACATCTACAACATATAGTGGATCTTCAGGTTTACCAATGGGACCACAAATGCAGCCACAAATCCAAAGATTGCCACAAATGGGTCAATCTGCTAATGCCTCACTAGGCCCTCCAGGGGGTTTGAATGGACCACCAAGGTCTAACATACAGAGTCGATACCCTCAAATGCCTTCAAGTGGTTACACTAACCATCAACAACCACAAGTGCAACCCCAGGGAGGCAAGCAACTTCCTTCACCTTACAATCCGCAAGGAATTACGCAACAAATGGGTCAACTTAGTGTTACAAAACAAGGATTTGATCAACTCTGGGGGCACCAGATGGTAGATCTAATGCAGACCAGACATATTCTTCCAGAGTACCCTGAAGATCCACCAGAGATAAGGCTTGGTCATCAGTTTGCCGATGCTCCCAATTGCAGTCCCGAGTAAGTTTACTTTAATATTAATTAATTACTTATAACTATTTATATAAAATACAAAAACTTGTTTCTATATAGACTTTGAAACCATCCAACTATTGTGCTCTAAGTTTTATTAGAAAGGTAATGATGTGAAGATGGTTTTAAACCACTAAGACAATGCATTATGCACTCTATGAAAAGGTTAATAAATAAACAGGACTTCCTTTTATCCAACAAATTAAAAAAATGTATTTCTTTTTTTACCAAACATCCAGTATCCACTAGTATGCTATAAATTAGAAGTAGAATCTAAAATAGCAGTGAATATGAAGCTTTTGTTTACTTTATGTATTTATCTTTATAATTGTTTTGTATTCATATATTAGTATATATTAATTACTTGAAATTAACAAATTGTGTGATTAAATAAAAATCTGTCAAGTCAAGCTGATTGGGGATATTCATCATCATCATTAAAGCCCTTCACAAGTCCACTGCTGAACATAGGCCTCCCCCAAGGCCACAAAGCACGGTCCTGAGCCACCTGCATCCATCGATTTCCTGCATGTCTTACCAGGTCTTCACTCCGTCTAGTGGGGGGTCACCCTACACTTCGCCTACCGGTACGAGGCTGCCACTCAAGAACCCTTCTTCCCCAATGGTTGTCGGTTCTTCGGGCTATATGGCCGGCCCATTGCCACTTCAGCTTACTAATCCATTGGGCTATGTCGGTCACTCTGGTTCTACTGCGGATATCCTCATTTCTAAGTTTATCATGCAGAGAAACTCCGAGCATAGCTCTCTCCATAGCTCGCTGAGCGACTTTGAGCGTCCTCATGCGACCAGCAGTGAAGGACCACTTCTCGGTTCCGTAAGTCATCACTGGCAACACAATTTGTGCAACTTAGTTTTCAGGTTTTGAGGTGTACCTGACGAGAAGATGTGTCGTAATTACCCGAACGCTGCCCAGTCGAGCTGAATCCATCGATTGACCTCTCGGTCGAAGTTGGACTTACCTAGTCGGACTATTTGTCCCAGGTAGTTTAGTTTGCGACGGGCTGTTTTCGGCAACTCCACGTCTATGCGCGTATTTTACGTGTGGGCAGGAATAATGTGATTATTCGAGCCATGAGATCTCCCTGAAGAAGCTCAACAGTCCCTTGATGTTGCATGCAACTTCGGGGAGTGATCCCGGCGTGCCGAGATGTTTAGCCCTGTACGTAGTGACCTCCGGACATTTCAGTAGCACGTGGGCCGCCGTTTCTTCCTCCCCCATACATGCCCTGCACAGGGGACTATCTGTAACACCTATAGTAAATAAATGTTTGTTAAAGGTGCCGTGTCCTGTGATAGCACTTGTTACTATCCTGATCTGTGGCTTGTTCAGTCTCATTAGAACTTTGGTTAAGCGACTGTTTATTACAGGTAGGGCCTCCCTAGCTTGTCTACAGTCTACTAGATTTTTCCAAAGCTGAGCGTGTTGATTAGTGAAGTGTCTACGTACCATTGAACGAACGTTACCAAAGGGGATTGGTATGATTGGTTCCGGCCCTATAGTGGCCAGAGCCGATCCTCTTCTTCTTCTTCTTACTTGTCCCAGGTAAACGTACTCGTCAACAACTTCGAGCTTAGTGCTCCCAACAAACACCGGCATAGGTGTCACACGGACATTAAACATGATCTTTGTTTTGTCCTTGTTCATCTTAAGACCTATCCGTTGGTAGGCACTATTGAGGTCATTGAGCATAGTGCTTAAGTCCTCCAGCGATTCTGCCATAAGGACTATATCGTCGGCAAATCAAAGGTGAGTGATGTACTTGCCATTGATGTTAATACCATATCCTTTCCACTCCAGTAGCTCGAAAACGTCTTCCAATGCAGCGGTGAAGAGTTTCGAATAAATAACATCACCCTGTCTTACACCTCTCTGCAGTTGGATAAGTTTCATACTCTAGTTCTGTACTCGGATAGCCATCGTAGCCCTACTGTACAAACACTTCAGCACTTCGATTTACCGACAGATTGGGGATATTAGCAAACAAAGATAATTTTAACACAAGCTATTGGCCGAGTTTTATTATGGTTTTATTTTGCTTAAGTCTTAACACACACACATATATATATATATTAAATATCAGATATAGTTTCCAGGAAAGTGAACACATAATGTTTTACTGAAGTAATAATGTTTTAGAGCTGACATGTAAAATTAAAGTCAATGCAGTTTTACTGAACTTTATAATTTTTAAAATTTCGCTTTTCTCATGAGGAATTATGTTTAAGTAAACTATATACAGTATGTAACAAAAGAATATCAGGTGCATTGGCATGCTTATGTGGTAAAATAAGAGGTATGAGGTGATCACCACCATGCTGGTTCTATAAAAATTCATTTAAAAATTGTAGAAAATAAATTATTGTAAGGTGAAATATGTTTAAAAAAAAGTCCCACTGGGTTTCTTGTTGCAGTTGAAATATTTCAATAGGTATCTTCAAAAATGGTTGCACAATTGTTTCAAAATTATGTATTACTTTTAAATTCCTTTACTTTTAATATTACTTACTTAGCTTTTTTTATATTAGGGCACCAAAGTAGTGCAGTATTTCTAAGTTATTGTAATTTTGGTCTTCAAAATCTATTTTCGGCTAGTTTGCTACTAATTATAGGTAGTATACTTATTTTTTACAAAACTGTAGTGACAATCTGCCGGATGGTAAGTCACTACTGCAGTCAACGGATTCCATCCAATCAACTCCAAACAACGAAGGCTACAGATGCCTTATCGCCTCTGAGGACAAAGATGGAATGCCACACAAGCTGTGACTAAACTGCCTCTCTGGTCTGAAGGGTGTAGCGCTTCTTAGAAATAGGTGGGTGGGGTGGCACCTACCCAGATGGTCTCCTAGGCAGTAGAAGCATCCTATCACCTAGGATCCGTATTTAAATATCAAAAATAACTCGTGGTCCATCATAACGCCTATTAGTTTAATATTATCAAGAAGAGGTAGATCTTTTGCTCTTTTTTTTTAGAATAAGGGTCACAAACGAGCACATTGTCCACCTGATGGTAAGTTGATGCTGTGGCCCATAGACATCTACATTTATCCTCAATTAAGAAACAAAACGCAGATATGCGTTGTCACCCTGAGGACTAAGATGGAATACCTTGTTTCCAGAGGGATCTCCGGATCTTTACACTCACCATATGAAACACAGCTGTATTAAGCTGTTATTTTACGCTGGTATTCTGTGAGAGCATGTTCCTTATCCGGGCGAGCCAACCCATTCGTGCTGCAACCGTATTATAGCTGCAGCGTGGCTCTACCACATATGAAATCAATTTTTAACATAACTGGATAAGAAAGTCGATTTTTTAAATAAAGTTTTTGTTTATGCCGATTTGGGTATGCCGATTATGTCTGACACACAGAATATTTTTTAATAGACGTACGTAACTTATTTTAGCTTTTCGCTGGGTATCTTTGTTGACCTAAATTGGACCATGTTGTGCAGAAATATTTGGACCCAAAAAAAACTGACTCTTTCAGATTTGAAAGGCATTTTACTTGTGGCAAAAGCTGGAATACATCATTTTTTAAATCATTAGATTAGTTTTTAATTTTCAGAGATATTTCATTTTGGCCAGATGGCCAGACAACACAGTCCAATTATTGTACATGTTATTCCCTCCAAATGTTAAATTTAGAATACAAAGTCGTTTTTTGCCAATGAAGTAATAGTAATATATAATATCTAATCACTACATATACAGCCCGTACAATTATTAGGGCAATGTAATTCATGTACATGTTTATTATCCATAATATAATTTTAATGATCTAGTGAAATTAGTCACGAATTATACATTGCTTAATGTTAAAATATTTATATGTTTCTTCATGTGACAAACATGATACAATTATTAAACATGATTGAGTAAATAGAAAGTATTAGAGAAGAGCGCTGGAGTGTCAGTAATACCTGTTGCTTGTGAGAGGACTTAACTGCTCGGATTAGCTATGCGCTTTTGAATTTTAACATCTATTTGTTTTATTTAAATAACATATTTTAGTCCTTTTCTTTGCGTCTATTCCTTTTAATTTTCTATAAACTACCTTTAATGCACTTAAAATTGCAGTTAACAATTTCATTGTGCCGGTGGGGATCGAACCTGGGTTGTGAATTACAGTGAGTACTTGGATCCTGAACTGCCTCATGAATTTCAGAACGATAAAATATTTTCGAGGACGTGAAAGTCAGCCATCACGCACTGTAGAAGCGCAGCGAACTTTCCATGATCCTCTTAGACAGAGGGAAAGCTTGTGCCCAGTAGTAGGACATATACATTTTTTAAGTTTGCTTTATTTTTAACATGACACAGTTACGCCGATAGAAACATATATATATATATATATATATATATATATATATATATATATATATATATGTATTTATTACTAGTGACCTTTTTTTTTGTTATACCCCATTTTTTCCATATTGTAAAAAACTCATGCAATATATAGTAAAATAAAATCGAAGTTATTACAAATTTTTGTAACATTATAATAATTGTAAAAGTATATTGTTCTTCATCACTGTTAAAGACCACTGCCAGACGTACTACTTGTCTTCCATTATGGTGAGTATTTTCCTTATTCATCACGCTTGATAGGTGGGATACACCAGACACAGGAAGTATGTTTAAATGAGCTAGTTTTATTTTCTATTGCGGCCCTGCCCATAGCTCTCCCCACATTACAAAAGGTTAGCCAGCTGAGAATGCCTTTTCGGCATTAATTGTGTTTTAGTACCAAATTGTTTAGAGCGCAATAAAGAATATTCTATCTATCTAGCAGAGGTCTCGTATTTTGATGATGTTGCTGGTCACCGGTCTGGGTATTTTACTGGTTAAAAAGAGATGGCATATAACCTTAATATATGGGGATGCTATAAAAATTTACTTTTTTTGCAAAATTAAAAAGTATATAAGTAATTTCATAATATCGCAACTTGAGAATGTCCT